ATGGGAATGACTAAGCATTTAACAGCCTGAGCTAGACATCCTGTCTACACTAAACATTTCTAATACATGAAGTGTCTAACCAATGTCTATCTGACTAAAAATACCTAACAATTTGCTGTATGAACAACAGGCAGTTGTAACAGCACTTTGTGTTTTGGGGAAAAACACATTGTGCTTGACCAAGGAAGAATGGTCACAGATCAGTCAAGCCATTGAAGCCCTCATGCCCTTTGAAGAGGCTACAAGGGAAGTTTCAGGTGAACAGTATGTAACTATTTCAAAAGTCATACCTCTGGTCTATCTCATTCAAAAAGCAACTACATCCACTGGGCAGAAGGGGAACACCCTTGCATCACTGCTCGCAATGCAGTACAAGCAGTCTTTTCAGAACATTGTGCACAACCATACTCTTGCAGCCAGCACCTTTCTAGACACAAGGTTCAAAAACATTGCCTTTACTGATACTAGAAATGTTGAAATGATCAAATCAAGGCTCATCAGTGACATGCAAATGCTGGGCAGTTGTGATGGACAGGCAACAAGAAGTGAACCCCCTTTTTCTCCAATAACCACCACTGCTTCTCTGGAAACTGCCTTGCCAATGACATCACCCACTGCAAACACTGAAGGCAACAGTGGGGACTGTTCAGCATCAAAGACAGGATTATGGGAGGCGTATGATAGGCATGTGATGGCTTCTGAGGGAAATCAGAGTGCAAACACAAATGCATATATTGAGATGTGCAGATTCATGGAGGAAAAAGTAATCTCAAGGAGTGAGGACCCTTTGCTGTGGTGGAAAAATGTGAACATGCTGCTTTTCCTAAACACCAATCTAAAACTTGAATGAATTATGTCATCTAGCTGCTAAATGATATAGTATATCTTATCTAGTTGGTGAATATGCTGTTGTACATTATCTAGCAACTATGAAACAAAAAGAGGAGGATGATGATGATGATGCTGCAAGTGTTGGGGATGATGTTGTGTTTTACTGTTAAATGTTTACTGTTTAATGTGATGTTTTACTGGTTTAATGCAGGTTCTTGAGCACTGCGTTCTTTCAATTTAAGAAATTTAATTAATGTATTACTTTGAAGTCTATTTTTATTATAATTTAAACATTTTATTTTCATATTTTTATTTAATTTACTCATTGATCTATTTTATTATCATTTTATAAGCATTTCTTTCAAGTATTTATGAGTTTTATTCATATTTCATGTTGACCTTGCAATAAAGTTATTAATGAACATTGTGCAATCGTGATTTTCCTTTAAGAGGCAAAAAGTATTGGTATCAGTATTGATGGAAAAAGTACCATAAACTAATGGTATCGTTTTGAAAGGAAAAATGTTGGTATCGCCCATCCCTACTATGCACACTGGGTAGCTCCCTTCCAACAGGAGAAGTACCAATGGCAAACTACATATACAAGGAAGGATCCCTGTATCTGCCTTTGTCCGTCGCAATGAATCCACTTTTTTCTTTTCTTTCATTTCAGCTGAGGTGATGTCCAGCAAGTCAACAAAAAGTGGATCCACAGTGATTCATTGCCTGTTGATCCACAAACTACCAGATCACCAAACTTGGCTCTGCTTTCTCGTTTCTCCTCTTGTATGGCAGTTTAGAAATTATAACCATCATGTTAATGGGATTATCAAATTTATACAGTTATTCAATATCTTGTGTGGTGTTGCAGCAAGTTAATAGAAATAAAGCAAAAGGTATAGTGTACAGAAACATCTGTGCCGAGTACAGGCTGGAAGGTGAAAGCACAAGTGGTCCCCATGGTAATAGGAAGATTGGGGGCTGTCCCAGTCTGCCCGTGTGGGAGCTACTCGCCTCAGCATTGAGCAGGAAGTCATCGATGCCCAGGAGTCGGAACCAGGTCCTTCCACCTGTCCACCTAACCATCTGTTTGTCTCAGCTACTCTGCGCACCAAGGTGCTGCAGTGGTGTCACGCCACCAAACTCACTTGCCATCCTGGAGTAGCACGGACTTGTTACACAGTACACAGATGGTTTTGGTGGCCCACTTTGAGAAAGGATGTCCGTGAGTTTGTGGCGCCTGTTCAGAATGTGCCAAGAATAAGACTTCCACTGGCAAACCTGCAGGGCTGTTATGCCCCCTTCCCGTTCCCCAGAGGCTCATGACCTACCTTTATGGACAGAATGTCGCAAGCTGGCTCCAAGGTTGGTTGCCACGCCCCGTATCCAAGGTCATAAACCCTGCTGCTGTCTGTCTCCGCCTGCCCCGCTCTCTTTGGGTTCACTCTACCTTTCATGTGTTCCATGTTAAGCCTGTTCAGTCCAGCCCTTGGGCTCCTCCTCCTGTGCCTGCACCTCCTCCTCGCATTATAGACAGGGGTCCTGTCTACACCGCCCGACGTCTCCTGCGGTCCCGGAAACATGGACGGGGTGTCCAGTACCTGGTGGACTGGGAGGGTTACGAGCCTGAGGAGTGGTCCTGGGTTCCTTCCTGTCACATCCAAGACTTCCATTGGGCCCATTCCTCTAACTGTCGATCTGACCTGCACATCATTCAAAAGGAATTTTGGCCCATTCTTCCTGGCAGAACTGCTTTAGCTCTGTCATATTCTTTGGACGTCTCTCGTGTATGGCTCTCTTCAAGTCATTCCATGGCATATGCTCTTTCACAAACTTCAGGCATGTAGCAATGTTCTTTTTAGTAAACAGCGGCTTCCTTCGTGGTGTTCTGCCATAGACACCCTGCTTGTTCAATGTTTTATGTACTGTAGACTCATGAACATAGATGTTATCCAGTTCCAATGATGCCTTCCAATCTTTGGCTGTCACTCGAGGTTCTTTCTTTACCTCATTGATAATAATAATAATAAAACTTTATTTATATAGCGCTCTCCAACTCCTTTGGGGTCATTTTGACTGGGCACCCACACACACAAAACAATAACTATAAAACAGATAAGGAAATACTAGGGTGCTAGACCAAAGCTAAAATAAAACAAGCTAGGCCTCAAAAGCCTGCTTCAAGAATGGGTCTTTAAGGCCGACTCATTGATGAGTCTTCGTTGTGCTCTTGGGGTCACTTTGGGGTCATTTTGACTGGGCACCCACCTCTTGGTAGAGTAGCCACAGTCCCAAATTGTCTCCATTTGTAGATCATTTGCCTAAGTGTAGACTGGTGAATTTTTAATGTCTTTGAAGTCACTTTATAACCCTTTCCAGCTTTATATAAATGAACAATTCTTGATTGTAGATCTTCTGAAAGCTCTTTTTGGTGGGGCATGGCTCACATAAGCATATTCTTCTTGTGTGGAGCAAACTCAAAAGGTATGAGTGGTTTTTATTAGTCAAAGTAGCTCTAGTCCACACTTCCAAACTCATTTTCTTAACAAGACTCCAGGTATGCTAACACCAGACTCCAATTAGCTTTTTTGAGGTTATTAACTCAAAGGTTCACATACTTTTCCCACTAGTACTAGGAGGTTTTTATGGTTGTTCTCAATAAAGACATGAAAGATCAGAATTTTTTTTGTGTTGTTATTGTAGGCACATTATATTTGTCAGTACTCTTGACTTAGATGAAGATCAGATCACATTTTATGACAAATTAATGCAGAAAACCATAAAATTCCAAAAGGTTCACATACTTTTTCTTGCCACTGTAGATAGCCTAGCTACAAATAAATGTTATGTTTATCAAGCTGGATTGATTGTTTTCCTTATTATATCCCCAATAAAGACTACTTCATATCATCAACAATTTTTCTGTAATCTAAGACTTGTGCTTTATCCTTTTTGTGTGGACTGCTGCTGTGTGTAATATGTTGCTATGTTCAGGTATATAGCCTCAAGAGGATTGGTTATCTACTCACTATGCTTGGGATAGAATCAGGGTCCAGTTTCTTCTGAGGTGGACCAGCCAGTGAACCTGGGGCTCCAGGGAAGGCCCCGGGCATGCCAGGCTGGGGCCCAGCCATGTGTCCCCCAAACTGACCTGCACATTAAAGCAGTACATACTGGATGTGAGTTGTGTTTCCTGGCTGAAGTCTAAAGTGTAGAAATGTGTACAATGCTCTCTTTTGTTGTTTAAATATATACTGTAAAATATGTTCTAATCAGACAAAAACTAACAAAACATTGTTTATATCTATTATAAAGCAGAGCCTCTATCTTTAATAGGATAGAGCTACTCACCAAATAAAATAGTTCTATGATATAAAGTAACCTGAGCAGCACAGTGGCATAGTGAAAAGCACTGTCAATTCACAGCAAAAAGGTTCTGGTGGGACCCCAATAGCAGAAGAGGTGTGAGTGGTTGTCTGAGCTAATGAGCACATATCAGTATCACTACTACTAATACAATTTTATGACAAAAAAAAACCTGCAATGGCCCTTTAATGGATACTTCTTCTGACTGCTGTTGAGATCAACTTTTTTTGGCATACAGGGTCACTTTTACCTGCTTGCTGTGGGTATCCTGGTGGACCAGGCTGTTGGAAACCTCCAGGGCCTGGAGGTGGGGGCCCAGGGAAGGGTCTACCCACACCTGCCATCGGTGGCCCAGGCATTTGTGGACTTGTCATTGACATGCTTGCCTGGGGTGACTGTGATGAAGACATCTGGGGTGACATGTTGAGTGACTGCGAGCCTGGAAGCATCTGTGGCTGGCCCATTGCTGGAGGAGGGGGTGTTTGGAAAGGCTGGTGGGCCACAGAGCTTATTGGAGGAGGAGGGCTCTGCATGGGACCTGGGCCTACACAAGGAAGAAAGCAGCCACAACACCTGGTGAAAGCATTCTTAATGCCATTTTTCTAATCAGAGGAGAAAATGTATCATTCAAAATTTGAGGCACTAATTGTGTGGAAATCAACAGCACTCATTAACAGATAACTAAGCGGTAAACTAGCCGTGCATCACCAGTTTAAACATGACTGGTTCCTTTCTATTGGAAAAAAAAAAAAAACTTTAAAAAGTTATTTAGCTGCTGTTATGAATGCCACATGCTGCTTTATTAGTAAAAAGTAATCAGTAATTAGAAACCCTACCATAGTTGCCCAGGTTCAAGGCGCTCATCTCATTGGTGAGCTGCTGCGATGGAGGTGGGCCACGTGAGGCCATGCTGTTGTATGGTGACTGTGTAGGTTGTCCATATACAGCTGGTGGAGATGGGTACCTGAGGAACAGAACACAGCAACATTCAGTTGGTATAGCTTAATTTCGTATTGACATAGTGCCTACTACTGCTTGTAACATTTTGCTAATGTTGTCTGAAAGGCACTGCGAATCCTTCAACACTTTCATTACATATTCATAACCACTTCATACTGATTTCAGAGAAAATCAGCCATGCTGTTGCTGTTTGATGAAGACTGTTACCTCTGGGGATCAAGAATGGGTCTTTAAGGCCGACTCATTGATGAGTCTTCGTTGTGCTCTTGGGGTCACTTTGGGGTCATTTTGACTGGGCACCCACCTCTTGGTAGAGGAGCAGCACCCAGAAAGGAATTGGTAGTAACACCAGAGAAGCAAAGCACCAGCTACTGGTTGATAAAGCAGTCACTCGAGACTGTAAGACCAGGCATACCAACCTGTGCACTGCCTGGATTGACTACAAGAAAGCCTATGACTCAACCAAAGGTGGTTGAGAATGACCAAGCTAAGATCCTGTGGGACTTTCAGATACAACCTGACAAACTGGTAATGGCCAACCAACTGGACATAGTTTGGTGGACAAACAAAAGAAGGCCATAGTGACAGATGTAGCAATTCCAAGTGATAGCAACATCAGGAAGAAGGAACATGAGAAGCTCGAGAAATACCAAGGGCTGAAAGAAGAGCTAGAAAAGATATGGAAGGTGAAAGCACAAGTGGTCCCCGTGGTAATAGGAACACTGGGGGCTGTGACCCCCAAACTGGGAGAGTGGCTCCCCAAAAATCCCGGAACATCTGAGATCTCTGTCCAGAAGAGTGCAGTCCTAGGAACAGCTAAGATACTGCACATGACCCTCAAGTTCCCAGGCCTCTGGTAGAGGACCTCAAACTTGAAGGAAGGAATGCAAGACCGCCCCAAAGTAGGGGGCGAGTGGGGGATTTATGTATATATATATATCTTTGTCTTACTTAATATAATAATAAAAAAAGTTTGTAACAAAACCAGACAGACAACCACTCACAGGCAATTTAGAGTCACCAATCTAATCTGCATGTCTTTGTTCTGGAGGAGGAACCCGTGCAGAGGACTGTATTCTCCACCTCCCTTGTCGATGCGGCTGTTTGGACCTGTGGCCGTAAGGTCTCCGGTCCCTGTTGTGGTGGCAATGCCCCAACCCCGGGGGGGGC